GTGCCCAATCCTCCTCGCTTGCTTCGCCTGATCCCATGTGAATTTCTTTCCCGTAGAAGGTTAGAATGTTCCTACTCAGGTCGAGGAATACATAAAAATGACGTAGAAAATCAATTCCCAATATCACCTTCCATGGCAAATTCGAGGCGACCAACATGGGGTGCTTGACCTTGATCCTCGCCATCTGCAGTTCGACGTCCATTCGACGGCCCCATTTTTGGAGAGGAGACCCGTTGACGGTTTTCAACCGAGGGCCGTCTCGGCTTAGCTCGCGAACCTGACACTGATCTACTTCGATAAGACTACACGTGGTTCCTGTGTTGACCAAAGCACTAGCATACCTACCTCTGAGACCAACAGTAAGGAGTAGGAAAAAAACTGTTTCCATTGGTCCACGTATAATCCGCAAATAAACAAAACGCAATGGTGACTCACCTGGTTCCTGTTGTTGCCATCTGCGGGCCCCTCCGCCGTAGCTCTGGTGTTTGGTGCGCCAGGTAAATCGTGCTTCGAATCGGAGGCCTTTGACCAGCGAGCTGCTCGCCTGTTTTGACTCTTTTGATCGTTTTAGTGCCTCCTTTTTGACCAGGCCCGGAATGTCGAATGTCTCCACCCTACGGACCGCTTCCCCAAAGTGGTGGGGGCTCGCCCTTGGAGCTCACGCTTAGCAACGCGATTCAATAGTCCCTCTCGGAACCGCTCGAGAGCAAACTCCGGTGGGACTTCCTTGGACTTCTCAGGAAACCCTCGACTGACAAGTATTCTTAATTCGTTCACATATTGTTCCGCTGACTTCCCTGGTCTTTGGTTTCTTCACCAGTAATGCTGTCGGAGGGAGGGGGGTTGACCTGACCCGGGAACAATTACTACAAGCTGTTCCATATGGACTCTGAGATGGGGGAGTCCTCGTCCACGTTCTCGTTGATCAATTCTTGTATCTGATTACTTAATCGATCTAAGATACAGAGGGTCGGTTCTTCTGTCGGCACTTGACGCAGGAATCTTTGCATATTCGCCTGCAATAATGACAAATTTGTTCCAGCATCAAATGGCGGTGGCGGATCCCACTGTATTGCCGGCGCAGCCGTGAATCTGACTTGCGGTAACCGCGTCCCGACAGTCGGCTGGCTGGCACCTTCGCC